TACTTCATCTCTGTTCTGCAGAGCAGCTGGTGGTTTTGAACTGCTGACCTTGTGGTTAGCAGCCCAACATGTAATCACTATGCCATGAGAGTGGGAGCTTGTGCTATTTCCCTGATAGAACGCATGTATTACAGTCAGTCATAAAGAGAAGGTTCTGTGTGTAGATGCACATTATGGATACATTTATAAATGAATATAAGGCGGTGAGGGGACAAGAACCCACAAATGGCTATGTGCTAGACGACTAACGAAAATGGCAACGACTAACCTACCTATGGCAACTTGCTGCCAAAAGGTCATTACTTTGCAGATCCTACGGGGCAGTTCTTCTCTAAACACCAAGTCTCTGTGAGCTGGAATCAACTTGCTGGCAGCTAACAACAACATGGAATCGATCCTGACCAAATCGTGCATTACACACTCCTCAAAATTACCCTAGGTGGGCTATGGATTGGAAATGTTAGGCTCCGAGGAAAATACTTTTTCTAAAGCCACAAGCTTGGAAGATGGTTCAGCTGGGTCATGCAACTAAATTGATCTCCCACCATCCTCTCATTCCACTGTGCTAAACCTCAAATGCCTGCACACGAAACTGACCAGATGCATACATGCAGATTTTACCACAGGCAGATGGTAGAAGGCAAAGGAATTCTTGGGAAACATATTGTTTCCACAGAGGCGTAGATGGGCTGTGAGCCACAAGATCGGCAGTTCAAAACCACCAACCATTCCTGAAGGAGAAAGATGGGGCTTTCTGCTCCAGTAAAGAGTTACCGTCTCAGAAACTCACAGTTCTGCTCTGCCCTAGCGGGTCTCTGTGAGTCAGCACTGGCTAGAAGGCAGTGAGTTTGGATTTGGTTTTATTTGGTGAAGGGACATTCTTCGGTCTGTCTACTGACAGGGATACAATATGTGACTACTGCCAAAGCCACACTCCCCAGTCGCAGTTTCCTGATCCGAGTGTGTGTCTAGGGGCTCCCTAGGGTAGGCTTAAGGTGACTCCTGATTTCCTCTTACCAAAGAGGAAAAAGAAGGTAACAAATGTCTAAGTTAGCACTTGTCAATCCAATGGCCTTCCTCAGCATCCTCAGCCTCATTCTGTCCTTCCTGCTGTAGGGTCTGGCCCTCCAGGAGCCGTCCCCTGGGCAGCCCCTCTGTGGGCAGCTGGACGGCTCCCTGTTCTGCTGTGGTTCTCCCTTGCTCTCATCATACTTCCCGAGGTTTCCTGGGTCCTTCCTTCTTTTCTCAAAGACTCTGTTCTCAACTGTGTTTTCTCTCTGGAAAATCGCTCTTCTATCTTTGCCACTGTTCTTGGATACCGCCGACTACCTGACTACCTGGTTTCCTCGGGCTCATGAAAGCTCCCATCTGGCCATGGGACACATCAGGCTTGGACACTTCAAACTCAGCACCTCATCTCCTTCCAAATTTCCTCCTCGGGGACTACCACCCTGAATTCTCAGGGTCAGCTTCTGCTGCTCCCTCTCTACCTCACACGCACTACCTCTGTTAACTCTTCCCTCACCAGGCCTGCCATCTGTTCCTTTCCCACCGCAGGCTTGTTTGTTGTTATTTTTCTCCGTGGGTTGCAATAACCTTCTAACTGCCTCCTGCCTTTGATTTCTGCCTCAGTTCTCCTTACATCGAACTCAGCTACCCACAGAGCTTGCTCCTGAAGCACGACTGTACCCGAAACCCTGCTCAAATACCGTCAATGACTCCTACTGGTTAAGCCATCTGGGACTTTGTATCAACCTCAACCCTGCTCAAATACCGTCAATGACTCCTACTGGTTAAGCCATCTGGGACTTTGTTTCAGCCTCAAAGATAGTCCCCAGTGTGCCGCGCTGTAAGCACCTGACAGCCTAGCTCGACTGTCCTAGGCAGTTCCACTTGTAACCTCAGTGCCTAGCACGGTGCTCAACCCCGCAGGCCCTGACGCCGGGGCATGACTGCATAAGAGACACACACAGTCCTGCCTCGTTCCCCCAGCCACCCCGGAGAGGCATGTAAATCCTCTGGGTATCAGTGACATGGGTCCTTCCAGCCTGGGGAAACTAGAGACCTTTGAAGAAGTTTCCAGAAGCTACCACTGACAAAACAAGAGAAACAAGTTGTCATATAGCCCTGGATACCTAGTTCATTACATGTTCCCGTAACAACTCAAAAACCCCAAACTGATGGCTTTCAAGTCAGCTTTGACTCACAGCAACCCAATAGGGCAAGGGAGAACTGCTGATGTTCTCAGAGTGTAGAGCTCTTTACGGCAGTAGAACGCCTTGCATTCCTCCCTTGACAACAGCACACTTAAATGTCATTGTCCCTTTGTGGTCCCAAATGGTGATTCACTGCCACATCCCAGGTGGCCTCAGAGTCCCTCCGTAAAGACACACAAGAACAAAGCTTTTCTATTTCATGTCGACTAAAGAGAGACAAAAAGTGCTTACCTCAGTCAGAACAGCCCAGTCAGTTTCCCCTGCTTCAGAAGAAATCACTTGGGAATCCTTGGTTCTGCGTCCTCCATCTCCCCCACTTCAAGACCTGGAAAAGAGAGAAAGGCAGCCCCATGATGAGACACCGGGTTTGACATCTTCAGCAACCAGGGTGACTGCAATTAACACGTAATGCTGTAAGCCTCACACCAAACAGAGGAACTCAATGAACTTTCGTAATGTCCCTCAAACTAGGGAAAATCATTCTCCGATTTTACAGCTGTGGAAGCAGAGGCTCGGGTGGGGGTGATGACACTTGTTTAGGGTCATGCAGCTGGCTGATGTTAGAACTGGGGCTCAAATGCAGGTGCAACGGATTTCAAGTCCAAGCTAGTAATCATTGGCTAAGGCTTTTCAACTGTGTTGACGGAGGCTCACACAGTTTAAAAACTTACATTAGATAGGCTGCAAACACGTCTCCTAACACAATGCTTACTAAATGCTTACTAAAGGTAGGAGTAATACACTCTGAACTGTTGATTCTTTTTGATGTTATTAGTTGCTATTGGATCCGCTGAGGTTCATGGTGTGCTTATGTTGCCCAGTCTTGTCAGTTGGTCTTACTGCTGTTGTTTGTGTGTTGCTAACGCTGGAAGCTATGCCAGTGGTATTTCAAATGCCAGCAAGGCCACCCACTATTTCTGTGGAACCTCTTGACTAGAACTAGGAAGAAAGGCCTGGTGATCTACTTTGGAAAATTAGGCAATGAAAACCCTGCAGATACTTTTCTGTACTGTACTACAACTTTTGTTTAAAGAGAAATTTCAGGTAGTAACTCACTAACCTGATCTCACAACCTGTGACAGTGTCTACTCTTGTTGGGAAAACAGGTGAGTTTTTTCAACAGAAGTTAATAACACGCACGTTTCTTATTAACAATAATAACCTGACCGGCGTTAGTGAACTTCAGCTTTGGGAGAAAAGTCTTTCCGCTTTAAAATATGTATAAGGTATACATATCATTTATAACGGATCTTTTTAATGGACCTTTTAAAATGGATACTCAATTAGGACTCAAGTCCAGAATGGAATTTAGTCACCAAGAGAAGCGCAGAGCTATAAAGTGAAACGGCGGGCAGACGACGATCTCAGGATTTAGTCTGCATCCTGCAAAGCAGTGGCTAACAGCCGGCGATTGTGTTCTCCCACAAGCGCTGACAGGGCTCCGCCTCAGTGCAGAGCCTGCGATTGCACTCTGGGGACAGGCCTTACTTCTGCACATCCCCTTCGGATCCCCATCGGGTTAGGGCTGGGATCCAGGGGTGGGGAGGGGTCAGTGCGACTGTCAGTGCACTTCTTGCTCCTACTGGCCCTGAGCCCGCGAGGTCCCCAACCCTGGGGTGCGCACTTCTGCCAGCCCCCCGGCGCTCGACCACGGGCGCGCAGAGGGGCCACTAGATGAAGCGCGACCTGCCGGGGTCTCCCTGCAGGACCACCCAGTGCCTCCATCGGGGCGCAGGACCCCGGGCTGGCACCTGTGGGCGCCCCCTCCCGCAGCCGCCGCGGCG